AGAGAGAAGAGAGAGAGAGAGAGAGAGAGAGAGAGAGAGAGAGAGAGAGAGAGACCGCGACCGACGGCAATGCGAGACTCCTCCCGGACGACGGCCCACACAACCAGGGCTCCTGCCCTGGCAACAAAACCCCCATCTCGGCTCTGCCCTGGTGGCGAACCCCCCACCTCGGCTCTGCTCAACGCACACGCATCATCCCTTGAACCCCAGGCCTGTACCCTGGCAACGAGACGCCCATCCCCGTGGTGTCGTCCTCAGACATTGACCAGCTGCTCTACGCTGACTCCCAGCACTGCCCCCATCTTGGTCTCCTTATGGAGGCGTCCGCCGCCAAGCTGGCCGGTGGGCAGGGGCGGGAGCTGCGCGCGGGGCCGCGCCGGTGATCCAGGTCGCCGGGAGCAGCAGGCGAGCGAAACGGCAGCGCTGTGGTGCCAGCTGGCGCGGCGCGTCTGCTGGATGCAGGGGGCGAGCAGCAGCAGCCCTGCCGTTGCACGCGCGGGTGCTTACAAGCTAATCACCGAATGCGCGCTGTGCCCGCAGCCAAGGCGGCGGCCGACCTGCATACGCGTGCGGAGCTGCATTCGGGGGTGGAGGGCGCGGTGCCTGGCCTGCCTGAGGACTTTTGGTCGCGCAAGTGGAGCTATACGGGTGGGCAGCTTCCGCGACTGGGCAGCATCCAGGACAAGTTATCTGATATAGCCAGCCGCGTGCAAGCTGTGTGTGATAGGACCCGCCTGCAAGCCGGGCGCGTTGAGCTCATGTCGCCGCCGCTCCTCAGTGTTTGCTTCCAGCACTGTTCGGCAGCAGCAGCAGCAGCAGCAGCAGCAGCAGCAGCAGCAGCAGCAGCAGCAGCAGCAGCTGCGGCCTGAAATCTGTATGGCTCTTGTCAGTCCGGGCAGTAGCCACCCTTCAGCCAGTCTCTATCACTCTCCCCCCACCCAGACCTCGAAAGGCTCCACTCACATCTCCAGCCACCGCCCCCTGGGCCCCCCTGTCAGACATCCATGATGCGCTGACGTCACTGGCGGCCCACAACAAGCCTATCCCGGAGGCCTTCACCCCCGACATCCGCAGGCAGATCAACCTGCTAGTGAGACCCGGGAACCGGTAGAGAACCCGGGGTCAACCCTTGGCATGCCGCCTGGGTGTGCCTCAGAGCCAGCAAAGGAATCGCGGGCATGTTGTGAAAGCCGATGGGGCCTGAATCGGCAGCTGGGAGGACACGCACGCTGCAGGGTACACGGCAGCCCGCCCTCCTTCCAGCCAGCCATCGCGTCCGCCAGCGCCGTGCCCATGCCATCCCCTCCCCTATTCTCTGCGCCTCTCGTTGCCTTCTAATCTTGCTCCCCCTCCCCTCGCTCCTTTACCTCCTGCCCATGCCCCCATAGGCCACGCGCCAGTTTGCAGGCTTCCTGTGCCCCTCCCTGGACGACGAGCACGGCCACGCCATGCTGCGCCTCTCGATGGGGCGCCTGCTGGACATGCTGGTCCTCAACATGAACGCCGCCGCCGCCGCGGCCGGCGAGACCGTCACCGCTGGCACTGGCGGCGGCGGCGGCGGCGGCGGCGGCGGCGGCGAGGGCGGCCTGCCGAAACTGCACCTGTTCTCGGGGCACGACTCGACCCTGATGCCGCTGATGCTGGGTAGGTGCAGCAGGGCTTTGTTCCTGGGGCCGCTCGTCTTAAATGGCGGCGGTCGTTGCTGCTGCCCTGTGGAGAAGCGGCCTTTGATCGCTTGGCTGATCAGCCAACCGATTACGGCTCCCTTATCAAGTGCACGCTGCCACCTTTCAGCACTCCCGCGCGCCTTGCCCGGGGAGCCCTGATCAAAACCCAGCCCAACTCTGGAACAACCCTGTCTTCCCACCGCCCCCCCCGCAGCGCTAGGGATTGACGTGGAGGCCACTGGCTGGCCGCCATACCTTTCAAATGTGTGAGTGTGCCGAGGTTGCGGGTGATGCCGGTCTCATGTGCTGTGTGCTGGCGGCCCATTTGAAGCCCCCACCCCCCAGCCCCGACCCGTGTCCCTTGCTGGTTGCCCCCCACGTAATCAGTCAGGCTGACTTTCATACTGCCGCCCCCTTGCCCCCAAACCGTCCTCGCCGTGCCTCAACCAGCGTGATTGAGCTGTGGGAGCTCAACCATCACCAGCAGCAGCACAACGGCCACCCTCAGCAGGAGCAACAGCAGCAGCAGGAGCGGCAGCAGCAGCAGCAGCAGGATCACCCGGACCATCACCAGCAGCAACTTCACCCACACACGACTGACGGCGGCCGACTAGCGGTGAGGGTCCTGTACAACCAGCAGCCCCTGGAGCTGCCCGGCTGCCCGCCCGACAAACTGATGGGCCTGTCCACCTTTGAGAGGGAGCTTCTAGGCAGCTTCATCCTGTCGGAGCAGGACCATGCACAGGTGTGCGAGAGCCGAGAAAGAGTGTCCGGTGGGGGCAGGGGCGTGCGGGCGGGCGCATGGATTGACGCGCATGCTGTAAGTCCAGGTGGCGGGTTCAGTTGATCCCGATGTGCGCATGGTCAGTGGGGGAGCAACGCAGGGCTTCCACTATTCAAGGCGGGCAGGGTTTTGCTCTGGCCGTCTGCATGTATGCTTGCGCCTCAAAGCCGCTGTTACGTCATGTTCTTGTGGGCACGGAAGCTGCGGCCTCCAACGGACCTGTTGCAGCCCGCAGCTCCATCCTCTTTCAGAGATGGAATGCGTCATCCTCGCTGCTCACTGAGGCTGTCGGACCCTTCCGCCAACACCACCCCTCCCCCAGGCCTGCATGGTCCCGCTTGACCACGACTCGCCGCTCCCCAACATCGTGTCACCCGCCAACATCAACGCCGGACCCGCCAATGTGAACGCTGGGGGCGGCTCGGCGGCAGCGCCGGCCGCGAAGAGCGGTCAGGCGGCCTGAGCAAATTGCTCGTAACCGCAGAGAGGGTTTGACACATTCAAATATTCTTGCAGGATTTTATGTCTGCATGAAATCATTGAATTTGCGTTCTTGTATTCTGCTGGGCACAGCCGGATGCAGCCGACGCTGACAAACAGTCACAGCCGGTCGTGACTATCAACCACGCAACACGGTTGTGGGGGTCTCGTTGTCTGCCGGCCTGCTTGTAAAGGCAGGAATAAGCTGCATTTCACCCACAGCCAGCACGTTGATGATGCAACAATGAGTTAGGATTACAGGGAGGTCGGTTTGTCAGGTCCCACACTTTGCAACACAGTTGCTATCACCCACAAATCCTTAGCAGCCAGCCATACGTGCTAGGGCAGGCACGCCTGCGTTCACACTCATCGCACATATCACATGCAGCGGCCCAGGCCAGATTGATGAAAGCGGCGTGCGTGTTTCGCGCGCCAACGTTGCAGTGACAAACGTGCTGGGCCGGGTTGAGACATTATCATGCCCTGTTCTCCTTATCAGCAAGCGCCACCGCGCGCGCGCCCGCCGGTGCCGTGCCTGCCGTGCCTGCCTTACCAGCTGCAGCCGGCCCCGTGGCGG